GAGAGGGAGAGAGAGAGAGAGAACATTGATTGGCTGTCTCCTGTGTGCCCCCTACTGGGATTGGGCCCACAATCTGAGCATGTGCCCTGACTGGGTATCAAACCAGTGACCTCTTGGTGCATGGGTTGATGCTCAACCAGTGAGCCATACCAGTTTATGTCCTTTCTGATTTTTTTTTAAACTCATCTTTATTGTTGAATGTATTACAGATGTCCCCCCACCCCGCTTTTTCCCCATTGATCCCCTCCTCTCCATCCCGCCCACCTCCTTCCTTCCCCACACTATTTTCGGTGTCCATTGGTTATGCATATATGCATAGAAGTTCTTTGGTTTATCTCATCCTGCCCTCCCTTCCCCTCTTCCCTTTGAGGTTCATCAGTCTAACAACCAGTTTGTGCTTCTTAATTACTTCATCTTTTTCACCCATCCCCCCAGTCCCCACCCATCTGGCAAGCAACAAAAAGTCTCTGTATCTATGAGTCTGTTTCTGTTCTGCTTGCTCATTTTGTTTGTAGATAATTGTTGATAGATATGTATTAATTGCCATTTTATTGTTCGCATTTTTGTTCTTCTCCTTCAAGAAGATCCTTCAACATTTCATGTAATACTGGTTTGGTGGTGGTGAACTCCTTTAGCTTTTTCTTGTCTGGGAAACTTGATTTGTCCATCGATTCTACATGGTAGCTTTGCAGGATAGTGTAATCTTGGCTTGTTTGTAGGTCCTGGCTACTCATCACTTTGAATATTTCTTGCCACTGCCTTCTGGCCTGCAAAGTTTCTTCTGAGAAATCAGCTGACAGTCTTATGGGAGCTCCTTTGTAGGTAATGAACTGCTTTTCTCTTGCTGCTTTTAAAATTCTCTCTTTGTATTTAACCTTTGGCATTTTGATGATGATGTGTCTTGGTGTGGACCTCTTTGGGTTCATCTTGTTTGGGACTCTCTGTGCTTCTTGGACTTGTGTATCTGTTTCCTTCACCAAGTTAGGGCAATTTTCTGTCATTGTTTCAAATAGGTTTACAAGTCCTTGCTCTCTCTGTTCTTCTTCAGGCACCCCTATGATGTGAATGTTGGCATGCTTGAAGTTGTCCCAGAGGTTCCTTACACTATCCTCATTTTTTTTGGATTCTTTTTTTCTTTTTGCTGTTCTGATTGGGTGTTTTTTTGTTTGTTTTTTTATCCACATTTGAGGACATTTTTGCATTTATCTTCAGATAGGGTGGGAGAGAGAGTGGGAGGAAGAGAGAGAGAGAAACATTGATGTGAGAGAGACACATCGAGTGGTTGCCACCCACACGACTCCAACCGGGGCTGGGGACAAACTGAGGTATATGCTCTTAGCGGGAACCAAACCCATGTCTCTCTGGACTGCAGGCCAACACTCTAACCACTGAGCCAAACCAGCCAGGGCATGATTGGGCGTTTTTTGCTTTCTTATATTTCAAATTAATGGTTTGCTTCTTGGCTTTACCTCCTCTACTATTGATTCCCTGTAAATTATTCTGTATTTCAGTTAATGTATCCTTAATTTCTGACTGGTCCTTTTTAATGTTGTTGATGTTCTCACTAAGTTCCTTGGAGGTCTCCTTACATTCCTTGAAGGTCTCACTAAGTTCTTCGAATGTCTCACCAAGTTCCTTGAGCAACCTTATGTAAGGTATCTTGCCGAGAAAGAAAGAGAAACAGAGCTGCAGAAGCAGGCAAAAGTTTTATTGAAGCGTTCCCGGGCGAGGTTCGCTGGTCCATGTGGAGGGGACCAGGAAAGTCATGCTGTTATGGCTTGCCCAGGATAGTTTTATAGGGGGGTGGTGTTGAGAAACAAAGAGGGGAGGTACTTGATTGTGCGTAACCAAGAGGGGAGTTATTTGTTTGGTGGTTTCGATTTCTCCTCAGGCTAGCCATTTCCCGGTCATGTGACTCCCCAGTCATGTGACTCCCCAGAGTTCACTGGCCTTACACCTTATAACTTGTTTTCTGAACTCTGCATCTGGTTGATTGCTTATCTCCATTTTGTTTAGTTCTTTTCCTGGAGTTTTGTTCTTTTCTTTCATTTGGGACATGTTTCTTTGTCTCCTCATTTTGGCTGCTTCCCGGTGATTGTTTCTATGTATTAGGTAGAGCTGCTATGTCTCCTAAGCTTTGTAGGGTGGCCTATTGTTGTAGGTGTCCTATAGGCTCCAGTGGTACAGTCTTCCTGATCACCCCAGCTGGGCCCTCAAGGTGCACCCCAAGTGTGGACTGTACACCTTTCTGTTGTAATTGAGCACACCAATGGTAGGGATTTACTCAGGCTGATCAGCTGCAAGGACTGGCTGTGCCCACTGACCACTGGCCTCTGACTACCTTGGAGGATCAGCTGTGTAGGGGCCCACCCCACAGAGCAAGACTTACTTCATCTGGGCTCTGGTACACACTCATTGTGTCCACTCATTGAGTGTGTCACTTGTGTAGGTGGTTGGGTGGTGGTGTTGTGATGTGGTCTGAAGCTGTCCACTGGGTGTGCTGGCTCTGGGGCAAGGTCAGCCACTGCCTGTGTTCTATCTGGGGCTACCCGGCATAAGCTACAAAGTGATCTGCAGATGGCTGCTTCTTGGGCTGGGCTTGGAGGTGCCCAGGAAAAGCCAATTGTGAACCAAGGCTGCCTGCTTCTAGTGCCAGGCCTGGGGCCACTTAATGAGAGGTATAGGGTTCACTGAGACCAGATCCTACTTGGTTGAGAAATTTTTGGAAACTCTGAAGCAGGATCCAAGACAGGCCAATCCTATGGTAAAGCCTTTGGAAACAGCTTGGGTGGGCCTGAAAGTTGCCAGGGGCAGGGCCTGGAATCACTAGGGCAGGGCAAACAGTGTGAGCCAGGTTGCTGGAGTCCCAGATATGGCGGCCATCTGCCTGCCCTGTCGGGGAAGGGCTCACCAAAGGAACATCAGCTTCCACCTACAGGCCTGTCTTTGAGAAAGTTGCCTCTCCAGCCCTCGTCCAGAGGCAAACAGCTCAGTTCTACCCTGTGTGTTCTTGGCACCCCTCAAGCTGCCTCCCCTCCGAGTTTAGAGAGAGCAAGTCCGAGTAAGTCCATGCTCAGGCCCTTTAAGAGGAACTGCCTGGGGCTCAGAGAGCCTCAGCCTTCCTCAGCCTCAGTTCCCACTGGTTATTCCAGTAAGAAGTTATGGGGACTTCTCTTCCTGGCACTGGAACCTTGAGCTGGGCGCCTGGTGTGGGACAGGGACCCCTCACTCCTCAGGGAGGACCTTCCCAGCTGAGGTGTCCCTCCTGATTTCTATCCACCACAGGTGGTTGTGGGACCAGCTGGATTGCGCTTCCGCCCCTCCCACCAGTCTCGGTGTGGCTGTTTCTTTAATTTCGTAGGCGGTTCTGAATGATGGTTGTGTTGTAGTTTAGTTGTAATTTTGATGTGGTTGTGGGAGAAGGCAATACTGCGTTTACCTACGCCCCCATTATGATAGGAAGTCTTCTTTCTGATTCTTTAAAAAAAAATTTTTTTTTTTATCCTCACCGAGGACATTTTTGCCTTTATCTTCAGATAGAGTGGGAGGGGGAGAGGAAGGAAGAGAGAGAGAGAAACATCCATGTGAGAGACATATCGACCACTTGCCACCCACATGACCCCAACCGGGGCTGGGTACAAACTGCAACCAGGGTACCCGCCCTTAGTGGAAACCGAACCTGGGACTCTCTCTCTGGTCCATGGGCCGAGGATCTAACTGCTGAGCCAAACTAGCGAGGGCCCCTTTCTGATTCTTAACTACCACACCTAGGTGTGGGACCTGCCTGTTTTGCATCTTTGCCCCTCCTACCAATCTTGACATGGCTTCTTTATATCTTTAGGTATAGGAGTTCTTTTCAGCTTGTCTTCAGGTAGTCTCAAGGGTGGTGGTTCTATAATTTTGACTGGGAGGAGGTGAGCATAGCGTTTACCTACTCCTTGATCTGGACCAGAGTGTTAGTGCTTTATCTAATCTTTTGTGTTGTACTGTCAAAATCTGAAACATGCCTAAAAAAGATCACCAGGTGAAAGAAAATAAATGAAATATAAAGTGGTTATTTCAGAACAGAATCTGGGATGTCATGATTGTTTGAGATTTCCTATTGGGATTATACTTATTTTACTGCAATGCATAACAATTATTAGCAAGAATTACCAGCCCTGGCCGGTTTGGCTCAGCGGTTAGAGCGTCGGTCTGCGGTCCAGAGAGACCCGGGTTCGGTTCCCACTAAGGGCACGTACCTCGGTTGCAGTTTGTCCCCGGCCCTGGTCGGTTGTGCGGGTGGCAGCCACTCGATGTGTTCCTTTCACATCGATGTTTCTCTCTCTCTCTCTGTTCCTCTCTCTCCCTCCCACTCTACCTGAACAAAAAATGGAAAAAAAAAAGTCCTCGGGTGAGGAAAAAATAAAATAAAAATAAAAAAAACCTGTTTAAAAAAAAAAAAAAATGCCCTGGCCAGTTTGGCTCAGTGGTTAGAGCGTCGGCCTGTGGTCCGGAGAGACCCGGGTTCGGTTCCCGCTAAGGGCACGTACTTCGGTTGCAGTTTGTCCCCGGCCCTGGTTGGTCGTGTGGGTGGCAGCCACTCAATGTGTCCCTTCACATCGATGTTTCTCTCTCTCTCTCCCTTCCTCTCTCTCCCTCCCACTCTATCTGTACAAAAAATGGAAAAACATCCTCGGGTGAGGATAAAAAAAAAAAAAAAAAAAAATTACCAAAAATCTGCCCTGGCTGGTGTGCTCAATGGTTAGAGCGTCGGCCTGTGGTCCAGAGAGACCTGAGTTCGGTTCCCACTAAGGGCATGTACCTCGGTTGCAGTTTATCCCTGGCCCTGGTTGGGTTGTGCTGGAGGCAGCCACTCAATGTGTCCCTTTCATGTCGATGTTTCTCTCTCTTCCTCTCTCTAGAGTCCTCCCACTCTATCTGAACAAAAAATGGAAAAATGTCCTCGGGTGAGGATAAAAAAAAAGAATTACCAAAAATCTTATGTTGAATTCTTTTTGTTTTCTTGTACCATTCCTGGAGGTACTGCAATATCAGATTGATGCATGGAGTGGATGGAGCAAGCTCCAATTCCATCTCTGTGCTCCAAAAATCCATTTAATATATTGTCCTCGGATAGAAGATGTATCAGATATTAAACTGACAAAAACAGATACTAATCTTGATCTTAGCCAAAAAGCTGAGAAATGATCTGTAGTGAATTTTTTCATATTCTTTGGTGACTGTCCAGAGAAGCAGCCCTGGCTGGTTTGGCTCAGCAGTTAGAGTATCGATCCATGAACCAAAGAGTTGTGGGTTCAATTCCAGTAAGGGCACATAAATAAATTAAATTAACTTAAAACAGATAAAATAAATTAAATTAAATTTTAAAAAAAGGAAAATAAAACAAAATAAAGAAAATAAAATTTAAAAAATAAAATAAAAAATAAAATAAGTTTAAATAAAATAAATAAAATAAATTTAAAAATAAATAAAATAAATAATAAAATAAAATAAATAAGACTAAATTAAATTAAAAATAATTAAATTAAAAAATTAAATTAAAATAAATAAAACAAAACAATAAAATAAAATAAATAAAATTAAATAAGAAATTAAATTTAAAAATAAAATAAAATAAAGAAAAGAAAAGAAAATTTATAAAATAAAATAAATACAATAAAATAAAATTAAAAATAAAATAAAACAAAACAATAAAATAAAGAAAAGAAATAAAATTAAGAAAATTAGATTAAATTAAAAATAAATTAATTAAATTAAAAAATAAGATAAATTTTAAAAATTAAATTAAATGAAAATAATATTTAAAAATAAATTAAATTAAAAAATAAAACAAAATAAGATAAATAAAATAAATTAATATAAAATAAAATAAATAAAATAAAATGAATACATTCTGTGGGTTGGGATAAATTTGTAATGACATGTATCCATCAATATAAATTTTTTTTTAAATCCTCACCAGAGGGTATGTTTTCTGTTTATCCTCAGATAGAGTGGGAGGGAGGGAGGGAGAGAGTGAGAGGGAAACATCAACGTGAGAGGACACATAGACTTGTTGCCTCCCACGTGACCCCGACCAAGACCGAGAACGAACTGAAACTAAGGTACGTGCCCTTGGCCGGAATTGAACTCGCAACTCTGGTCCATGGGCTGACGCTCCACCACTGAGCCAAACCGGCCAGGGTCATCATTACAACATTTTACAGAATAGTTTCACTGCCTTCACAGTCCTCTCTGCCCACCAACCCCTGTCAACCATTGATCTTTATACTGTCTCCACAGTTTTGCCTTTTTGGGAATCTCGTATAATTTGAATCATAGTGTGTAGTCTTTTTATATTTCGCTTATATATGCATTAAACTTTCCTCTGTATTTCATGATTTGACAGCTCTTTTCTTTTTAGCATTGCATAATAGTCCACTGTCTGGATCTACCACAGTTTTTTATCCATTCACCTACTTAAGGACATCTTGATTGCATCCAAGTTTTGGCAATTATGAATAAAGCTGCTATAAATATCTGTGTGTAGGTTTTTGTGTGGTGATAAGTTTTCAGCTCATTTGGGTAAAAAACAAGGAACATGATTGCTGATAAGAGTATGTTTAGTTTTGTTAGAAACTGACACACTGTCTGCCAAAATGGTCGTACCATTTTGCATCCCACCAGCAATGAATGAGAGTTCCTGTTGTTCCACATTCTCACCAGCATTTGGTGTTGTCTGTGTTTTCGACATTCTAATAGGTGTGTACTAGTGTCTCATTATTGTTTAATTTTTTAAATTTTTGTTTATTTATTTTTTTGGTGTCAAATCATTGTTGTTTTAATTTGCCATTCCCTTCTCACATATAATGTTGAACATCTTTTCATATACTTATTTGCCATCTATATAGCTGCTTTGGTAAGGTATCTGTTTACCAATTTTTTGCCCATTTTTTAATTGGGTAGTTTGTATCCTTAGTGTTGACTTTTAGGAACTCTCTATATTTTGGATAACAGTCACATATAGTATATATGCATGGGCTTAATTTCTGTTCCATATTCTCTCAACTTTGAGGAGCATCAATAATGTGCCTTCTGTCCTTGCAGGAGCATGAGAACCTTAGCTCCTAGGTTCTAGAGTCTGAATTTGGGTCTAAAATTCCATAGGGGCATTCAGAATGAGCTTACTCTGGCTTTGATTCTTTTTCCCTCCTAGTTTATTTGGGTCTCAGAGAAAATTTCCCCTAAATCAAAGATACAAAGTCTTGCTACCTCTTAAGGGGATGTGTGGGTGTGAAGGGGCAGGCGAGTCATAGTGTGGGCAGCTCAGAATAGCAGAACAGCACCCTGAGTTTTTTGTTTTTGTTTTTTTTTTATCCTCACCCGAGGACATTTTTCCATTTTTTTGTTCAGCTAGAGTGGGAGGAAGAGAGAGAGAGAGAGAAAAAAAACATCGACGTGAAAGGGACGCATCAAGCGGTTGCCATCCACACGTCCCAACCAGGGCCAGGACAAACTGCAACCGAGGTACATGCCCTTAGTGGGAACTGAACCCGGGTTTCTCTGGACCGTAGGCCGATGCTCTAATCACTGAGCCAAACCAGCCAGGGCAACACCTTGAGTTTTAAGCTAACAGTAACTATCACCTATCTGCCAAACAAATGGATGATGATGATGTAAGTTCTCTAAGTAGTTTGGTCATATGCTCTTTTGCAAATATAGTTATTAATTAAATACTCTTCCCTTTCAGATGTGCGTTCCAAACGGGAGTATGATGAAAGCCATGTGATTACAGCCCATCGAGTAAAGAAGGTATCCTGGCAAATTCAGAATCTGGGGCAGGCTGGCTACCTTACAGGAGGGTAGGAAGAGTGGGAAGTTTTATCTTAGATCCAGAAGGCGGCACCTGCTGTTGGACACTGTGCATCCACCATGAGGGTCTCCCACACTCTTTATACACTCCCTAGGGCATCCCTCCCACCCCCATGGTCAACAGCTTTAGTAAGCAAATATTGATTTGATTCCTTTATGTGCCAGGCACTGTTCCAGATTCTGGATATAGACCAGAGTATAAGATGCTCTTAATTCATTGTCCCTGCCCTCACGGAGCTTTTTTCTACTTAGGGAACAGACCATAAGAGAGTCTGTTCCATATCCATATACTATAACTCAAAGATAGAAGCTGCTTTCTTCCATTTCCATCTGGTTCCTTCCCATCTTCCACGTTCTTGACTTCCAGGTTCTCTCTTGCTTCCTTGGTTTTTTTCTCTGTCTTTTGGTTCAGCTTCATTTTCTCCACCTGCTGCCTATAAAGAAAACCATTGGTTTATCCCTGGTCTCCTTCACTCCTGCTAGTATACTTTCTTGCTCAGAGATTTCACCCAAGCTTCCAGCTTCAAGTATCCACGTAGTTGAGCTGTCCTGTCAGTTTTGCTTCAGAAAATTTGTCTCATAAAATTGCCACTATTATGCATTCTGACTCTGGCTTTTTCCCACGTATAACTCGACAGGGAGCATGAACCCTGGCTCGTGTATTTTTCCAGGATAACCTGGCTGCCTAACAAGCTTTCCCCAATCCAATCCATCATTATCTGTTTATTTATTTATTTTTGCCCCTGGATTTTCAATTCTCTGGCTCCCATCCTCTAGCTCTAAATGACCATTTCAGGCCTTTTTCTGCTTTTTTGTAGCCTATTCAGAGCCCCACCATGATGCATAGCCTTCAACTTCCAACTCAGCTCTCAAATCTGCATATTCTTTGATTTTGGCAGCACCTCAGCTCTGGTAAAGAGCCATTCTCTCTGTCTCAGCCTTTCAGAACCCCTTAGTCAGACTGACACCTCTTGCCTTCCCTCCCCAACATTTTGGCCAGCAGATTGCAGGCCTTCAGGGAACCTCCAGCTCAGCAGAACACAGAGCCCCTCAACTCCATGTTCACGGCCATGTCTACCTGATGCCACCTCCTTCTCCAGCCTCACCTCCAGCATGCTTCTTCTCTCAACTGACACAGCAACAGTATTGCCTTGCTGCGTTTCTTGGTTCTAAGATGCACATAACCCTCCACTCCCCATATTTTAACATTTCTGAAATTGGAATATATCCTACAATTGATTTACACTTTTAATGTGGTACTGTCTTTTCCCTCCAAAATGCATGTGGTGGACATCTGTTATTTTCTGCCTGGCACCCCCTTATCTTGAAGGGGAATTTCCCCTCTCCCTGCTCAAACCATGGGGGGGTGTAGTGGTACTCCCTAAAATAGTATCCAGACGTTGGCCACACATCAGCCAAGGATGAAAACTGAAGAAGTCAGAATTAGAATTAAAAAGGCAGCTTTTTCTGTTCTGGTGGTGGAGTTTGGAGGATGGGAGTCTGAGCATCACTGGTGGCCATGACATGGGCCCCAGGAAAAGTTGTCTGAGAAGGTGAAGTCAGCGTGCAGGAGAAGCAGAGGAGCAGTGCCTGAGAGGGAGGTCTGGGCTTTAGAGCCCTGGTTCAGATTTTCCTGGGGACCAGTTGCTCCCTGCTCTGCCTGAAGTATTGTTATATGCCAATAAGTCCCTCCTTTTATGTACATTCCTGATCATAACTGTTGTTAAATTTGTGGTGCTTCGCCCTGGCCAGTTTGGCTCAGCGGTTAGAGCATCGGCCTGCGGTCCGGAGAGACCTGGGTTCAGTTCCCGCTAAGGGCGCGTACCTCGGTTGCAGTTTGTCCCCTGCCCTGGTTGGTCGTGCGGGTGGCAGCCACTCGATGTGTCCCTTCGCGTCGATGTTTCTCTCTCTCTCTCCCTTCCTCTCTCTCCCTCCCACTCTATCTGTACAAAAAATGGAAAAATTTCCTCGGGTGAGGATTAAAAAAAAAAAAAAAAAAATTTGTGGTGCTTCTTACAACCAATGGTCTCTTAAGATCTAGGAAATAGTCTTTGCAATCCCTTGAACACACTGCTCTCTCTGAACACAGGGGTGTGTGTGCTTTGCTCATCACTGTATCCTGGATGCTCTATCTGGTCCCTGGCATTGGGTTGGTACTCAGTACCTATCGGTTGATTAAAGTAAACGACTGGAAGCTGTTCCTTCTGCCTCCAGCTCTTGTCCATCTGGCAAATTTCCACTTGCTTTTGCAGTCTCATCTCAAATGCCTTCTGCCCTGTGTGCCTTTCTGAGTCCTTCAGACCAACTCAGGCAATTTCCCTAAAAACAAAACAAAACAAAACAAAAAAAACAACTCTGTATTTCAGAACCTAGTACAGTGTAAGTACAAAGTAGGTCCTAAATGAATGTTTACTGAATAAACGAACAAATGTCCAGTCACACCTCTCCCTGCTCTCCTACCTGCTCCAGCCTCTGTGGACTATTTCTACCTTTCCCTTTGCTCATGCTCTTTTCCACATCCAGAACTCCCCTTTCCTCATTATCACCTGTCTAAATCCTGCTCATCCTCTGAGCACTGTCAGTCTGCTAATTCCTTTAGATGGGTACGATTTCTCCCCTTTGAGTTCCAGAGAACTTCCCTGGTCTGTATCTGCATGGGCCTTACCTCCCTGCCTGGTGGCAGAGTAGATGTGCACTAGTCCTATCCCACCTGCGGGTCCTCTGTCAGGGCCTCTGTCAGCCAGACAGGTCGCAAGGGACAGAGTCAGGCTCAGGTTCCCCTGAGCACTGAGAACCAATGAGGACTAACCTCTGGGCTGCCACTCAGCCAGGCCTTCTGGAACCGTGGAACACCGTGTGGGATCCTAGGCAAGTCTGGTTCTGTGAGAGCTCATTCCCTTCTTGGCAGAAGGCACCCGTTGTTCCTACCCCTGTGGTCCACCATGATGGTGACTCATCTACTCCCTGACTATTCTTCATGACCTCATGGGCCTATTAGCCCATTCCTTCCTTTAACCATATTTATGGCCTAACATTCCAGGCATTGTTTTAGAAATTTGACTATAAAAGGACAAATGTTCCTGCTTTCACAGAGCTCACATTTGAGCCTACAGTTGGACTCATTTTATCTGCTTGCTTATGACTTCTGCTTATTCAAATCTTCTGCTTACTGTCTTCTTACAGGGGAATTTGGCTTTGACCACTATGGGCAACCAATTGCCCCCCAGAGAGAGGATATGTTAGTTCAGTTGGTGGGTCAGTAGGCCAGGTGTTCTTTGGCCAGGCACTTATTTCTGGTCCTGTCAACTGTGGTTAGCTTTCACAGCAGGGGATGTGGGTGTGGAAGATCCTTGGATTTAGTAGACTTTTCAGTTAACTCTCAGTGCTCTGCCCATATTTAGTCAGGAAAACAGGCAGAGTCCTACCTCCAGCTCCTCCTGGTGCTGGTGTGCAGAGAATATTTGCTTAACTGAACCCACCTGCCAACAGACTTCTCTTGTGGTTTCTTTAGATGGCAAATGAATATCTTATCCCAGCGTCTGTGGATCTAGAGTGTGTAAAGTACTGTGTGGTGTATGATAACAATACCAGGTCCCTGGGGATAATCCTAAAAAATGAAGATGATGACAACTCTGACAGTAGTGGAAAAGGTAGGTTTTTACACAAGAAAAATAGTTAACAGTTATTGAACACTTTGCCACATTCTAGGAGCCATGCCAAGTGCTCTGCCTCAGCTCTTGCAGTTTGCAGAACATCCCTGTGAGGATGGCAATATGAAGAACTAAGAAAGATCTGAGATTTTTCTTTCCTTGCAAGATGACAAATGAGCCTGCCACTGTTTGCAGAGTTGCTGGCCGAAGACATGAAGCTCCTGGGTCAGAGACAAAGGACTTTATTATTCAGAGCAGTAAAAGTAACCAGAATGTCATTATTTACCTGCACTGGTGCCCAAGCCCCAGTTCTCATAGGGTGACATGAAGAGGGCCAAGTACACCTATTCACGTTGTGTGTTATATTGTAGAAGAACTCTGAGCTTAGGGGGCCCAAATCTTTTATTATTTTATTTTTTAACTCATCTTTATTGTTGAATGTATTACAGATGTTTCTCCCTTGTTTCCCCATTGACCCCCTCCTCCCCAATCCTGCACCCCTTCTGCCTTCCCCACACTATGGTCGATGTCCATTGGTTATGCATATATGCATTGAAGTTCTTTGGTTTATCTCATCCCGCCCTCCCTCCCCCCTTCCCTTTGAGGTACATCAGTCTAACAACCAATTTGTACTTCTTAATTCCTTCATCTTTTTCACCCATCCCTCCAGCCCCCACCCTTCTGGCAAGCAACAAAAAGTTCTCTGTATCTATGAGTCTGTTTCTGTTCTGCTTGCTCATTTTGTTTGTAGATAATTGTTGATAGATATGTATTAATTGCCATTTTATTGTTCCTATTTTTGTTATTCTTCGCCTTCAAGAAGACCCTTCAGCATTTCATGTAATACGGTTTGGTGGTGATGAATTCCTTTAGCTTTTTCTTGTCTGGGAAACTCTTGATATGTCCACCAGTTCTAAATGATAGCTTTGCAGGATAGAGTCATCTTGGTTGTAGGTTATTGCTTTTCATCACCTTGAATATCTCTTGCCACTTCTTTCTGGCCTGCAAAGTTTCTTTTGAGAAATCAGCTGACAGTCTTATGGGAGCACCTTTGTAGGTAATGAACTGCTTTTCTCTTGCTGCTTTTAAGATTCTCTCTTTGTATTTAACCTTTGGCATTTTGATGATGATGTGTCTTGGTGTGGACCTCTTTGGGTTCAACTTGTTTAGGACTCTCTCTCTGCTTCCTGGACTTGTATAACTGTTTTCTTGACCAAGTCAGGGAAGTTTTCTGTCATTATTGTTTCAAATAGGTTTTCAATTTCTTGCTCTCTCTCTTCTCCTTCAGGCACCCCTATGATGTGAGTGTTGGCATGCTTGAAGTCCCAGAGGCTCCTTACACTATCCTCATTTTTTTGGATTCTCTTTTTTTGTGTTTTTGTTTTTGTTTTTCTGTTCTGGTTGGGTGTTTTCTATTTTCTTATATTCCAAATCTATGGTTTGCTTCTTGGCTTTACCTACTCTATTATTGATTCCCTGTAAATTATTCTATATTTCAGTTAGTGTATTCTTAATTTCTGACTGGTCCTTTATTATATTGTTGATGTTTTCACTAAGTTCCTCGGAGGTCTCCTTAAGTTCCTTGAAGATCTCACTATGTTCCTTAAATGTCTCACCAAGTTTCTTGAGCAACCTTATAACCTGTTTTCTGAACTCTGTATCTGATGATTGCTTATCTCCATTTTGTTTAATTCTTTTCCTGGAGTTTTGTTCTTTTCTTTCATTTGGGACATGTTTCTTTGTTTCCTTGTTTTAGCTGCTTTTCTGTGATTATTTCTAGTTGTTGTTTTTTTTATCCTCACCCCGAGGGCATTTTCCCATATTTTTTATTCAGAGAGAGTGGGAGGGAGAGAAAGGAAGAGAGAAAGAAACATTGATGTGAAAGGGACACATCGAGTGGCTGCCACCCGCACGACCAATGATGGCCAGGGACAAACTGCAACTGAGGTACATGCCCTTAGCGGGAACTGAACCCTGGTCTCTCTGGACTGCAGGCCAACGCTCTAACCACTGAGCCAAACCAGCCAGGACTGTGATTGTTTCTATGTATTAGGCAGAGTTGCTATGTCTCCTAGGCTTTGTAGGGTGGCCTATTGTTGTAGGTGTCCTGTAGGATCCAGTGGCACAGTCTCCCTGATCACCCCAGTTGGGCCCTCAAGGTGCACCCCTAGTGTGGACTGTACACCCTTCTGTTGTATTTGAGTCTTGATTGCTGTTGGCACATCAATGGGAGGGATTTACTCAGGCTGATCAGCTGCAAGGACTGGCTGTGCCTACTGACCACTGGCCTCTGATTGCCTTGGAGGATCTGCTGTGTAGGGGCCCACCCCATAGAGTAAGACTTACTTCAGCAGGGCTCTGAGTCCACTCACTGAGTGTGTCATATGTGTAGGTGGTTGGATGGTGGTGTTGTGATGTGGTCTGAAGCTGTTCACTGGGTGTGCTGGCTCCGGGGCAAGGTCAGCCACTGCCTGTGTTCTATCCGGGGCCATCCGGCATAAACTACAACATGATCTGCAGATGGCTGCTTCTTGTGCTGGGCTTGGAGGTGTCCAGGAAAAGCCAAATTGTGAATCAAGGCTGCCTGCTTCTAGTGCCAGGCCTGGAGCCATTTAACAAGAGGTATGGGGCTTGTTGAGGCCAGATGCTGCTTGTTTGAGAGATTTTAGGAAACTGAAGCAGGTTCCAAGACAGGCCAATCTTATGGTAAACTTTGGAAACAGCTTGGGTGGGCCCAAAAGTTGGGTAGGGCATGGCCTCAGGGAATCACCAGGGCAGGTCCAAAAGTGTGAGCCAGGTTGGTGGAGTCCCAGATTTGGCAGGCAGTCTGCCTGCCCTATGGGGGAAGGGCTCACTAAAGGAACAATGGCCTCTGCCAGCACATCTGTCCAGGAGAAAGCTGCCCCTCCAGGCCTTGTCCAGAGGCCAAACAGCTCAGTTCTTCCCTGTTCTCTGGTGCCTCTCAAGCTGCCTTTTCTCCGAGCTCAGAGGGAGCAAGTTTGAGTAATTCTGTGCGCAGGCCCTTTAAGAGGAGCTGTCTGGGGCTCCCGCAGCCGCAGCCTCCCTCAGCCTCAGTTCCCACTGGTTTTCTAGCCAGATGTTATGGGGACTTTTCTTCCTGGCTCTGGGACCCTGAGCTGGGCGCCTGGTGTGGGACGGGGACCCCTCACTCCTCAGGGAGGACCTTCCCAGCTGAGGTGTCCCTCCTGATTTTTGTCCACCACATGTGGGTGTGGGACCCACCCATTCGCACCTCCGCCTCTCCTACCGGTCTCCATGTGGCAGCTGCTTTAATTTCATAGTTTTAGGACTTCCATTCAGCTCTATTTCAGGCAGTTCTGAATGATGGTTGTGCTGTAGTTTCATTGTAATTTTGATGTGGTTGTGGGAGGAGGCGATACCATGGTTCCCTATGCTGCCATCTTGACCAGAAGTCTATTTTATTATATTTATTTAATTTAATTAATTTATTTTATTATTTAATTTATTTTATGTATTTTAATTTATTTTATATATTTAATTTAAATTTAATTTATTCTATGTGTTTTATTTATTTCACTTATTTATTTTATGTATTTTAAATTTTTATTTAATTTATTTTAATTATTTAATTATTTAATTTTATTTTAATTTATTTTATGTATTTTATTATTTTTTTATCTTCACCCAAGGACATTTTTGCATTTATCTTCAGATAGAGCAGGATGGAGCGAGGAAGGAAGATCGAGAGAAACATCCATGTGAGAGAGACACATCTTGTGGTTGCCACTCACATGAGGCCAACTGGGGCTGGGGAAAAACTGCAACTGAGGTAGGTGCCCTGGGTGGGAACCGAACCTGTGCCTTTCTGGTCAGCTGGCCTACTCTCTAACTGTTGAGCCAAACCAGCCAGGGCCTGAATCTTTTATAATGGGCAGAAAGCCTGCCCATCCTTGGCTCTGGAGGGAAAATTTGTGTCTGTGTTTCAAGGCTATTGGTTATACAAATATCCTTGAAAAGCCAGTGTCTTATAAAAGGACATGTGGAGATGTGAGAGACCATGGAGAATTGTCTCCTAATAGGTAACATCCCCATTATATAGATGGGGAAATTAGCGCTCAGAAAGGCAAAGGAATTTACCCAAGATTTCACACCTAGTAAATTAGTTATCTAGTATCATGTAGCAAATTACCTCCAAACTCAGTAGCTTGATGTAACAAACATTACTTTTCTTATAGTTTCTGTGGGTCCAGGATTCAGGAGCTGCTTAGCTGTCAGGTTCTGATACAAAGTCTGTCCTGAGGTTGTAGTCAAGATGTCAGTCAGGGCTGCTGTCATTGGAAGGTCTGACTGGGCCAGGATGACCTGTATCTGAGATGACTCTCACATAGTCATATCCAGGAGGCCTCAGTTTCATCCTGACTGTTGGCAGGACACCTCAGTTTCTCACCATATAGACCACCCCACAGGGCTGCTTGCATGGCCTCACAACATGGCAGCTGGTTGCCCCAAACCCCCCAAAGTAAGTGATCAGAGAGAGAGAGAAAGGGAAAGCCACATGCCTTTATGACTTAGTCTTGGGGCTTATACGCAGTCACTTCTGCCATATTCTATCCATTAGAAGGAAGTCACTGAGTACAGTCCACTCTCAGATGGAGGGGAATTAGACTCAACCTTTTAAAGGAGGCATTTGAAAGAATTTGTGGACTTTTTTTTTATACCACATCTAGTAAATTGTGGGGCCAGGATTCAAACTCAGGCAGTTTGACTCTGTCCAGTTTCCTAGGGCCTTGGTAATGATGTTGGAGAACCCTGCAAAGTCACTCCATCCCTGAGCCAGAACATTTAAATGTGGTTGGTTCTAACCTGGTTTAATGATTCTCCATAGCATTCTCCATTCAGCACCCAAAGCAGGGTTGGGCTGCCAACCCTGCCTGTTGGCATGGGGCTCTGCTGTTTGTGGCTCAGTCACTGAAATGTGTGGATGGTTCTGTGGGCTGGAGCATTCACACCAATGGTCACTGGGTGGCACTAGGCTTCCATCTTTGTTTCATTTTAAAAAAAATCCTCACCCAAGGGTATTTTTCATTGATTTTTAGATGGAGTGGAAGATAGGGAGGGAGAAGGGGAGAAAGAGAGAGAAACATTGATGCAAGAGATACACATTGATTGATTGACTCCTGCACGACCCCAACCAGGGCCAGGGATTGAACCTACAACCCAGGTACGTGCCCTTGACTGGAAATCAAACCCATGGCCCCTTGGTCTGTGGGTTGACACTCTAATCACTGAGCCAAACTGGCCAAGGCATAGGCTTCTACCTTTAATAAAACCAGGCTTCCCAGGAGGTCCTTAGTCAGAAAATTATACCCTCATCCCAAAGCTCATCTTGCTGGGCTCTGGTCAGAAGTTCCTGGGATTGCAGGCTAAGCCCTGAAACCCTGGAAATCAGTGGGCAATAAATATATCCCCTTCTACATCCTATAACTGACCTCACTGTGCTATGGAGGCCCCTGTTCTCATTGAGTAGGAAACCACAATCACTGAAAACAACAGCAACACAACAAAAACAAAAACCACCATTCACACACCTTGCCCACTCAAGGCAACTTTTCTCCTTTAAAGTGGCATCTTTGCCCTGCCGGTTTGGCACAGCGGTTAGAGCGTCGGCCTGCGGTCCTGAGAGACCCGGGTTCGGTTCCCGCTAAGGGCACGTACCTCGGTTGCAGTTTGTCCCTGGCCCTGGTCGGTTGTGCGGGTGGCAGCCACTCGATGTATTCCTTTCACGTCGATGTTTCTCTCTCTCTCTGTTCCTCTCTCTCCCTCCCACTCTACCTGAACAAAAAATGGAAGAATGTCCTCAGGTGAGGATAAAAATAAATAAATAAAGTGGCATCTTTTAGGTAAATGCAGAGTCTTTTGGGTAAAAGACCATTTCAAGCTTTCTCTCACCATCTCCTTTTCCTTTCCACAGTTATGCACCTGACTCCGCAGGAAGTCTGGGCATGGGGGAGCCTTCGTCACATTCTAGAAGCAGGTGTTGGTCTCTGTATAGTACTTTTCTCTTGGCCTCTGGAAGAGGTGCAGCTTAGCCTGTATGGCCGTTGGCCATGAGCAACATGTTGTAGCCAAAATGTCCATATCTACTGTAAGTCATGAGTGGTTCCCTCCATGTTGGCAGTGCATGGTGCTGGCTCCTTGGGAACTGAGCCATGTGCCCTCCTATCCAGGCTCCCCCTGACCTTCCACATGTGCTCCTGATCCTTGGGCCTGCTGCGGCTTCCAGTGTTAGATTAACCACTCCCCAACTCTGCTGTGAGAGTCTCAGAAGCCTAGTGGGAAATGGGACACAGCTGTTTTTAACAGCCCCCCCCCCCAAGCCAGCTGGGTGTCTTCTTAGGGACCCAGGAAGTATCTTCCCTTGTTTTGGCCTTTGGATGCTCTCTGTCAGCTCCTTTTAGCATGTAAGGGGCAGGCAGCCCCTTTCTTCTATGAGCAACATTTCCCTTACATTAAATCATCATTACTTGCAACACGTGGATTATAGATCCCCACAATGGTCTCATGATATGTGTGGGTGGAGTTCCTTGGGCCAAGACATTTACATCAATTGTGAAAGGAAGCTTTGGGAATTTTGGGATTCATTTTCTCCTCCCTCAGCAAAGTCTGATTTTCAAGACAGTTGTTTGGCTAAGGACTTCAAATAATTTAACTTAAAGCTCAGGTTGAGTGGTGACTCCCTTTTACTGAGTGGTCACCCACCTCCCTCTGAAGCAGTAGATGCCCCAGTTCAAGGTATGAGAAACCTCATGTTGATGGAGACCTCAGGAGTAATGGGAATAGAAATGAACAAATTTAATGTTTCAAAAACGTTAACCTCATTACGTCCTTGGCTGGATAACCTGGGCCCTGGGATGTTCTCATGGCTTTCTGCCTGAGTCTCTAATTGTCTTCTGCAAATTGGCCTCCCTCCATCTCTGACCCCATTGCCCCTGTGTGCGAACCTCCAGCTGGTCATGTGACATTGGCAGAGGAGCAGCTGTCTGATTTAAAGGCAGTAGCTCTGTAGCCTTGGACTCTCTTCCTAACTACCTGAGCCCTCTGACTGGACCCCTCATTACAGAGTCCTTGCTCAAGAGGGAGATGGGGCTGGGAGACCCAGGGCTTTCTGACTTCCAAGTCAGGACCTCAGGGGTGGGATTTGGCTCCTGTCTCGCCAGCTGCACGTTCTCTCCTGGCCTTGCTATGTTCTTCAGGCTCTTCCCCCAAATACATTTTCTCTAGATGGGTCTCAGGCCACGTTTTTTCCTCAGCAGCCCCTGTTGGAATTGGCTTTCTCTCCTTGGACAAAGGTTCACTATAGCTGTCAGAGTCCATGCCCTTCCTTTTCTCCTTCTAGCTAGCTTTCCAGAGCCTGCTGCACAGTATTTCTCTTTTGGGGTTAGATGCTGGCCTTAGACTATCTTGGCTTAGCCTTAATCATGTAAACTTCCTATCCCACACTTCTAATCTGCATACAGTCTAATAGTGATTCTAGAGGCCAGTGAAAGCATTTTATTATTTTTAATAGTATTACTCTAATGTTAATTTCTTTTCTTTTTAAAATATGTTTTTATTGATTTTTTACAGAGAGAGGAAGGGGGAGAGATAGAAACATCCATTAGCTGCCTCCTGCACACCCCCTACTGCAACCTGGGTATGTGCCCTAACTTGGAATCAAACCGGGACCTCTCAGTCTATGGGTCGACACCAGCCAGATGACATCAATTTAATCTAAAATGCTTTCATTGGCCTGGCTGGTGTGGCTCAGTGGATTGAGCATCGTCCCATGCACCAAGAGGTCGCTGGTTCAATTCCCGGTTGGGACACATGCCCATGTTATAGGCCTGATCCCCAGTGGGGGGTATGCAGGAGGCGGTCAATCGATTTTCTCCCATCGATGTTTCTTTTTATTTTCTTTTTATCCTCACCTGAGGACATTTCAGATAGAGAAGGAGGAAGAGAGAGAGAGAGAAACATCAACTGGTTGCCACCCACCCGGGCCAGGGACAAACTGCAACTGAGGTATGTGCCCTTAGTGGGAACCGAACCCGGGTCTCTCTGGTCCACAAGCCGATGCTGAGCCCAACCGGCCAGGGCTCTCATCAATGTTTCTCTCTCTCTCTCCCTCTCACTTCCTCTCTCTCTCAAATCAATAAAGAAAATAAATTTTTTAGAAAATTGATGTCAAAACCACAATGAGATACCACTTTATACCCACTAGGATGGCCAAAATAAAAAAGGCAAGTTTTGACCAGGATATGGAAAAATTTGGACACTCATACACTGCTGGTTGGAATGTAAAATGGTGCAGTCGCTGTGGAAAACAGTTTGGTGCTTTCCTCAAAAGTTAGATGTAGAGTTATTATATGGGCCAGCAATTTCACTCCTAAATATATATCCAAGAGGAATGAAAACATGTGCACACAAACTTGCACATGAATGTTTATAGCAGCATTATTTCTAATTGCCAAAAAAAAGTGGAAACAGCCCAATAGATGAATGGGTAAATAAAAGGTGGTAGAGCCACACAATAGAATATTCTTCAGCTATAAAAAGGAATGAAGCCCTGCTGGTGTTGCTCAGTGGTTGAGCATCAACACTTGTACCAAGAGGTCACTGGTTCAATTCCTGGTCAGGGCACATGCCCAGGTTGTGGGCCAAATCCCCAATGGGGGGCATGCAGGAGGTGGTCAGTTGATTTTCTCTCTCATCAATGTTTCTAACTCTCCCTTCCTCTCTCTTTAAAATCAATAAAGAAAATGAATAAATAAAAAGGAATGAAGTGCTGACACGTGCTACAACATAGATGAACTTTGAAAACATTATGCTGAGTGAAAGAGTATGTGACATACTGTATGATTCCATTTATATGAAATGTTCAGAATAAGTAAATTCATAGAGAGAAGTTAGATTAGCAGTTATCAAGACTGGGTGTTTAGGGGGAAATGAGGAGTGAGCCCTCTAACTGGTACAGGGTTTCTTGGGTGATGAAAATGTTCTAAAATTGTGGTGATGGTTATACAACTCTGTGACTATACTAAAAACTATTGAATTGTACACTAGCTGTAACATGTACAAATAGGTGACTTATATGGTATACAACATGTGGTATACAATATATGATATTATATATATTTACAGAAAAACAAAGATTAACTTTCTTGGTGGTAAGTTGCTTTTGAATTTTAATGGTATCCCTGGCCGGTTTGGCTCAGTGGTTAGCGTGTCAGCCTGCAGACCAGGGAGTTCCGGATTTGGTTCTCCCTAAGGGCACGTACCTTGGTTGCAGTTTGTCCCCGGTCCTGGTTGGGGTCATGTGGGTGGCAACCAGTTGATGTTTCTCTCTCACATTGATGTTTCTCTCTCACATCGATGTTTCTCTCTCTCTCTCCTCCCCTCTCTCCCTCCTGCTCTATCTGAAGATAAATGCAAAAAAAAAAAAAATGATGTCCTTGGGTAAGGATAAAAAATAAATTTTTAATTGTAACACCCATCTCAATACTTGCTTCAGCTTCCTAGATAATTGCTTTTCAGAATAAAATAGCCATTCATTGGAGCTTTAGACCATATAAGGCCCGAGAAATCAATACCAGCTAACATCACACGCCTGACCAAATTAGCCTGACCAAATATAGCAGGCTAATTTTTAAGTTAATAATTTTGTATGGTCTGCAAATAATGTTATAAATATCCAAATGGCCCTTGGCAGAAAAAAGTTCCCCACCCTTGCCTAGACAAATGGTGGACATACAGGAGACATTCATTTTTTTTTAAAATCTCCACTCTTAGAACTGGTGCTCGGAGCTGCTGTTGAGTGTGGCAGAGCCATAGCCCACCTCACCCGCAACCCCATCCTCATCCTGAAAGGGGGCTACGAGTGCTTCTCCGCCATGTACCACTTCTTCCGGACGCAGAAGATCATCTGGATGCCACAAGTAAGGCAGGGTGCTGAGCACAGGCAGGCTCGGATGGGAGCACGGCTTTCCATTGAGGACTGCAGAGTGGGGAGCAGGGTAGGAGAAAGAGAAGGAGACATACAACATGGAAAAGATAGAAGAAATATTGAAGACTGGGCTTGGGAAAAGAACTTGGGGTAGCAAGGAGGTCCCATCCAAGATTATGAATTTAAAATAGTCAGATTTGGGCAAAAGCCAACATGGTGTTTAAGAGATGGGTCCTGTTCAGAGGTCGGGTCCCAGAGGAATTCTGGATGGTAGGTTGCAGTCAAAGTCAGATGGGTAGGGATGGGTGTCATGATTGGAGGTTGCCTCAACTTTCTTAGCTTTTGGATCCAGAGGAGACAAAAGGGTGAGAAAGCAGTCCCTGCCTTTGAGAAGTTCTCGTCTAGTAGGGGAAACAAGTGGTATGGCCAAGGGACCCACCAGGTAGAGCCCAGAGGAGAGGCACTTCCTTCTGGAGCCACACCTGAATGGTGAGGAGCTTGAGAGGAAGAGGGGGGAGGGCATATAAAGGCAAGCATTGGATGGCAGTGATTGGCAGGCAAGGACCTGCCCTAGGGGGCATTTGTGCAGTACCTGGTTTATTGAGGAGTCTAACTGCAGTGGAATGTAAACATGCAAGGGTTTCATTCTTTTCAATAATTGCCTTTAGCTGTGCTCTCATTTTTGTCCTTAGCACCATCTTGGGCAGACTCATACTTTCTGGCCACTTTGAATTATGAAAAATTTTGATTTAGACATATTATAAAACGATTGGGGAAATGTGCATATTAACTGGATATTTGATGATAGTAAGGAATTATTATATAGGGTAGGGTAAAAGTAGGTTAACAGTTGTTTGTATGGAAAATTATACAATAACTAATAAATAATAATACAAGAATAAACTCTGTTTTGCACAGAGTTTAAACCTGTAAACCTATTTTTTGCCCCACCCTATATTTCTTTAAATTGTGATGACATTATTATAGTTATATTAAAAATATGAGCTCATATCTTTTAGAGAAACATAATTAAATATTTATGGGTAAAGTAATATGATGTCTGGGATTTCCTTCAAAATAATCCAGGGTAGGTTGAGAAGTCAGCATAAATGAAACAAAATTGGCCATTAGTTGATATTGTGTTCAGAGGGATGATAGATCCAGGGGTTTATTACACTATGCTCTCTACTTTTGTGTATTTCTTAAATAATTTTTTTTGTGTTAATCCTCACCTGAGGATATTTTTTCCATTGATTTTTAGAGCGTGGAAGTGTGGGAACAAGGGAGGGGGAGAGAGAGAGAGAGAGAGAAAGAGAGAAAGAGAAACATTGATGTGAAAGAGATACATCAATTGGTTGCCTCCCACGTGTACCCCAGCCAGGCAGGGGATTGAACCTGCAACCCAGGTATGTGCCCTTGACTGGGAATCGACTTTGTGAGGGCCGACACTCGACCCACTAAGCACACTAGTCAGGGCTGAAATAATTTTTTAAATGGGAGTAAGAACAATCAGTCTAATGTAAGTTAGGCTAGTTTAACATTCCAATCTCAAACCAAATCTCATCTCTTCCCACACCTCTGAGCTGGGCTGCCTTGGGTTTGCTAGGGGCTGGGAGTGGGGAGGGGTGTGGGCTAGCTTCAAGGACGCCTCCTCTCTTCAAGGCCGGGCCCCTTTGGTGCTGAGGGTCCAGAGTGGGGCCTGTCTTGTGTGACTGGCTGCTGTCAGTGGAGGGGAGGTGCCTTTTCACTCTGACCGTACTTGGTTCTGTGTGCTGCCTTTGCTGCCGGTTTTCTTAGGGTTCTGTTCAGGGGCCCTGTCTATTACTGAGGATCCCTCAGAGAGAGAGAGCCAGCTGAGAATTTATGCTAGGAATACCCCTAATTCCCTTCCTTTCCCCTGGTAGCCCATGACCCCCCACTGCATCTTTACTCTTTCACACGAATCCTCGAATGGGCCACAGGGAGTGTGATGATGGGAAAAGATGCCCAGGCAGACCTCACTGCATCCCCTCCTTGCCTTACTGACTTGGCAGCTCCAGCCAACCTGTGAAAAGGCAGGGATCTGAGGTCATACCTGTTCCCAAATCTAGGATATTCATGTCAAGCTCTCCAAAGGACTACCTTCTCTCTTTCCACAGAGGTTCTTGCAGACACTCCTCCTTGCTCCTAGAAGAGCACCCCTTACTGGCTTTGCAGTGTTTGAAGGTAGTATTTCTCTGCAAACGTGACACTGCTGATAACTCATTGCCTCTCCCCTTTTAAAGCTTTATTAAGGTATAATTGACATAGGAATAACTGCACATATTTAAAATGTACAATGTGGTGAGTTTTGACACATGTATATACCTGTTGTCCTCACCCCTGGTCTTATGTAGATTGGAAGAGGGGTGAGGTGGTGGCTGATGGCAGCTGTCAGGGCCTGATGGGGAATTCTACCCTAGTTGTTTGTGGTCTTCTCTAGAATGTAGGTGCCTACTATTGCCTCTTCCTGCTCTGTTACTAATTCAGGAGCAAGAGTGAAAGCCCCAGTCCCTTCCTGTTATTGTTCTAATACACTGTAAAGCAGGGGTGTCCTTACTGCTCCCCAAGGAACTCCTTCTCTGAGTGGAGATGGAAGCTCAAAATTGGGCTCTGAGTCTGCCCCTCTACCTTGGACAGAGTGACTGACAACTTACTGTTTTACATGTAGCATCCCTTAAATAAGATTTCACTTTGAGCAGAGGGATTCTGTGACTAAAAGGAGTGTGAAGACCACACTAGAGAGAGGTGATGGTGAGTCACTGAGTGATTTTACATGGAGGGGTGGCATGATCAGATTGCACTTAGATCAACTCTGATTGCAGTGCAGAGAGTGGATAAGAGTGGATGTGGGGAGAACTGCTAGGAGGTGGGGATGGAGAGGAAACAACGGATTCGAGAAATACCTAGGAGCCTGGCTGGTGTGGCTCAGTGGTTGAGCATCATCGACCCATGCACCAAGAGGTCGCCAGTTTGATTCCCGGTCAGGACACATGCCCAGGTTGTGGGCCCAATCCCCAGTGTGGGGGGGCATGCAGGAGGAGGCCAATTGATGTTCTCTCATCAATGTTTCTATCTCTTTCTCTCTCTCCTTTACCTTCTCTCTAACATCAATAAAGGAAAAAAAATTAAAAAGAAACACTTAGGCCCTGGCTGGTTTGGCTCAATGGTTAGAGCGTTGGCCTGTGGTCCCGAGAGACCCGGGTTCAGTTCCCGCTAAGGGCAGGTACCTCAGTTGCAGTTTGTCCCTGGCCCTGGTTGGGTTGTGCGGGTGGCAACTACTTGATGTGTTCCTTTCACACCGATGTTTCTCTCTCTCCCTCCCTCCCACGCTATCTGAACAAAATATCAAAAAAATGTCCTCGGGTGAGGATAAAAAAAAAAAAAAGCAATATTTAGGAAATGGCATTGATTCATATGAGTGAGGGGGTAAGTGGAAGAGGGAGGAGGAGTCTAGAATAATGCCCTGGTTTAGGTGTGGGTGATAGGTGGCCTGGGGCATGGTGGGCACAGGAGCAGGAGGCAGTGGGTGGGGGGAGGCAGTGGGCTCAGTTTGGACATGTTAATTTCAGATACCTGTTTCTTTTACATTTGTCGATGTGGCTATTGAAATTGTGTCATCTAGAATTAACACGTGCTTGCTCTTTACAGCACAGCATGTTTTTATCAATGCCACACCCTCTTCCCCTGCAGCCTGCACAAGCACAGAAAAGGAAGCTGGTTTGAAAGGATAGTACAAAGAGAATTGATAGATTTGTGATGGGTGTTCAGTAAAATTTTCCAAATGGAACTAGGAGGATTTCATTTGGCTCCAGCAAGCTGAAATCAGCCTGAGCCCTGGGGATGCTTTGGGTCACATCTGCAAATAGCAGGTCTCCCTGCAGGTGAAAGGGTCTTGACTCTCTTTTGTGAACTTTAGGGTTTGTGCTGCCTGGTATCTGTTCTTTGATAGAGGTTTTTTGAGGCTGACGGCTTGGGAAAGATGTGGGCTCACAGTGAGTTCACTGGGATGGAGAAATGCTGATGCCAGAAGGCTCTGAAGGACTGAATTGGAGACTGAAGTAGCCTGAGATACTTACGATGCTATTTTTGAGTCAGACTTAGAGCCAGAGGAGTTTTTAGAATGGGGTTACATAAGTTGCATTTCTCATGGAAGACTGATGGAAAAATATTAAGACCTAACAGATATTAGAAATGTCAGTTAACACAATGTTAGTGGAATTCTTTTTTTTTTTATTTAGGTTTTGCTTAGATTTTATTTTAATAATATCACAAGTACATTTTCAGTTCATGCCAACAATAACTATGTAGCCACTGTTTTATCACAAACATCTGATCTATAAGAGCTCAGTCCAAGAACCCATTTGGAAAATTTTCACCAGCTCTCTATTCCCCGAAGGCACACTTTGAGAAGTCTTAGACTGGCATGCTTTTCTGGCTGTTTTCCAACTTGTTTATAAAATTAGTTTTATTATTTGATGATGATTGTTTTTACCAACCACATGATTGGTGCTCTAATAATCTTTCCTTGGAACAATCATATTTTATAATACCCCCAGCTTTATTGATATGTAATTGATACATAATATTGTATAAGTTTAAGGTATACAACATGATGATTTGATATATATATAGACTGAAATAATTAGCATAATAAGGTTAAAATATCTATCACCTCACAAAATTATCTTTTTGTGTGTGTGGTAAGAACATTTAAAACCCACTCTCTTAGCAGTTTTCAAGTATATATTTAGTATTGTTAACTGCTGTCACCATGCTGTGTATTAGAACCTCAGGACTTATTTGCCTTGTATCTGGAAGTTTGTAGCCTTTGACCAATATCTCCCTATTTTCTCTCCCTTCCCCAGCCTGCAGCAACCACCCCTCTACCCTTGAGTTTTATATATATTTTTTAAAGATTTTTTTTTCTTTATTGATTTTAGAAAGAGAGGAAAGGAGAGGGAGAGAGAGATAGAAACATCGATGAGAGAGAACATTGATTGACCACCTCCTGCATGCCCCCAATTGGGGACCAGGTCCACAACCTGGGCATGTGCCCTGACCGAAAATCAAACTGGCAACCTCTTGATGCATGGGTCAACACTCAACCACTGAGCCACACCAGCTGGGCATGAGTTTTGTATTTTTAATGTCCACTTATAAGTGAGATTATTTGTCTTTCTCTGTCTGACCTATTTCACTTAGCATAATGCCCTCAAGGTCCATCTATGTTGTTGCAAATGACAGAATTTTCTTTTTTTTTATGGCTGGATAATATTCCATTGTATACATGTGCCATATTTTTTTATCTACTCATCCATTGATGGACACTTAGGTTGTTTCCATGTTTGGCTGTTGTGAATAATACTCCAGTGAGTATGGGGATGCAGATAATCTCTTTGAGATAGTGCTTTTGTTTCCTTTGGATATATACCCAGAGGTGGGATTACTGGATCATATTAGTTCCATTTTAATTTTTTTAGGAACCTCCATATTCTTTTCCATAATGTCTGTAGTTAGTGGATTTCCTTATTGCTGGACTCCTTTGAGGCTTTCATTGCTAATGTACATGGTGAGTTTCTGAGAGAGGGATATCATAGGTACTGCTTCCCATATGTACTTGGTTCTCCGAACCCTTTTTCACAGTGCATTGTAAGGGACCAGTGTTTCTTAGAACACACTTTAGGAAATATAAAAATACTTCTTCTCTGTTTCTTTGTTTTTCAAAGAAACTAAAATTTTTCTTATTATAACTTTGGATCTAGAATCCAGTAAGTTTTTTCATTTAAGTGGTAGCCTGTTCTCCCTACTTCTCTATTGGGGCTCATCAGAACTTCATCAGAATTAATTTCCTTATGACAAATAGGCTCTTGTGAGTAGTTTCATTGTTTTTTTAAAGGCATTTAAATTCTGATGGCCTCTGAGTGTAATAAAAGGGCTGTTCTTCCCCACCCTTGCCCTCCACCAATTGGACACACCCTGGGTTTACGTAGTTGTTGGTCATGGGATATTAGACTTCAATTTTTAGACTCTACAGCAACATGCAAACAGGTGCTATGGAGGAAAGTAAGATGTTGGTATTCAGATTCAGCACGCTATAGCCTGATGCTATGCTATGGCTCAGTTCTTCTGTTACTACCAGCCTTATAACTCCTTGTGCAAGTTATTGCTTGCCAATTTCTTTGAATACCCAAATCTCAATTTTATTCACTGTCCTGGATTATCTTTCTAAACTTGTTTGCTGAACCATATTTTAAGAGACCAATACCCCCACCCCCAAATGAAAATAACTTCCTCCCTGATGAGTATTTATAGAAGCCTCTCTCCTTCCTTACCTCAGGAACTGGATGAATTTCAGCCATACCCTGTTGAAATATTGCCAGGCAGGCTCTACCTGGGCAATTTCAGGCAAGCCTGCGACCCTAAAATTCAGAAGGATTTGAAAATCAAAGCACATGTCAATGTCTCCATGGAGACAGGACCATTGTAAGTAGCAACTCTATTGGTTTTTTAAGATTACATATTATTTGTTTATATAAGATTCCTGGTGCCATGCATTTATAGAGTTGAAAGGGCTCTTAGAAGTCAGCATACACTGGAGTAGGGTCTATAAAAGGTCTGAGCCAGTGGGTGATCACATCTACAACACAAGGCCAATGTAGAGCAAAATGGCTTTATTGCACACGCCTGGGTGCAGGCGGGCTGAGCCAAAAAGGGTTCTGCCTCTCAAAGCAGCTGGGGTGCAGGTTATGTACTATATTTTTAGCTTCTGGCAGTTCCTGCTGACGTACTCGGCATGGGCCATTGTCCACTTTGCAGTTGGACTGGTCTGATATCTCGTCCTGCATCTGTTCGGTGATTCATTGCCTTGCGGATAACCCAGATAGTCCTTATCCGTACTCAGCAGAAGGCTGAGCAAAGGTCATGCAAGCAACACATTTTTCAGTTTCTACCTTTTGCAACTTTTGCCTTTACCCTTTAAAATGTTATTAACCCTTTCATTCCCATCTTATAATGAAGATCAAAAGGAAAAAGGGGCAAAGTTTCTCTTTGTCTACTTCCTGCAGGTGGGGGGACATCGTGGACTCCTAAAAAGAATTTGTTAAATAACTTCTTGGGGAATGGGGTGATAGGGTCCTTTAACCTGTGCTAGAACAAATTGTCCAACTATCTGGTTGACTAAAATTTGCAGTCAATTTTTACGAACCTAGTAATCAGGCGCAAGAGGCAGGGTCCGAAAAGCAATAATAAGAAGGCTAATACTAGGGGCCCTATGAAGGGGAGAAGCCAGCTTAGTTTAGGCAAGGCTGCCTCTATACTTGTCCAGAAAGATTGGGCCAGGTGATCCTGTCTGAATTCTTTTAGCCACTGGGCATTATCTAGAATACATTGTGTCCTCTCCTCGACCTCGCCAGTTGAGTTAACATAGAAGCAACAAGATGTATTTGCTATCATGCATAGACCTCCTTCTTTGACCAGTAAATAGTCTAGTGTAATGTGATTATCTATTACCATGCAGGCAAGAGAGTCAAGGGATTTTGAAAGAAGTTTGAAATTTTTACCTGTATCTCTACCTATATTTGCCATGGTGGTGGTTACGTTTTTTTTTTGTTTGTTTGTTTTTTATCCTCACCCGAGGACATTTTTTCCATGTTTTGTTCAGATAGAGTGGGAGGCAGAGAGAGGAAGAGAGAAAGAGAGAGAGAAATATCGATGTGAAAGGGACACATCGAGTGGCTGCCACCCACACAACTCAACCAGGGCCGGGGACAAACTGCAACCCAGGTACATGATCTTAGCAGGAACTGAACCTGGGTCTCTCTGGACCGCAGGCCGACACTCTAACTGCTGAGCCAAACTGGCCAGGGCTGGCTACGTTTTTTACTGTTATGGCATTATAAGTAATTTCTCCCATGAGGCCTGCAGTGGTGATTGCAGCTATGACTCCTGCTATGAGGAGTCCGACTTCCTTTTTGCCCTATGATGGGCTCAGAGCTTGATGAGGTTAAATTAGGGATGAAGGAATGGATTAAGGTATTGGCTGAGGTGACATATCCTACTGCCCATAAGCCACCCTGTTTTTCTGGGTTTAGGCATTGAATAGCAATTCCTCTCCTGGGGGCAGAAATGTTTAGTACACCTAAAAACATTATTCCTGCTGGAAAGCAAAGTAGTCCAGTCATATTTGGGCCTAGGGAGGTGTTCCCACAGTAAGTTTCGAGGGAGGAGAGGGTCAGTGACACCAGCAGAACTGCACCTGGATAACTAATTTCCCTGGTATGATTTTTTCTGGTATTGCATCAAGTCCTTCTGAGCTTACACATATAAACTCCCATTGCAGGGGTTAGACACATCATGAATAGTTAGATTACAGGTGCCCCCTGTAAGGTTATAGTGAGAGATATTATACGTGGTGCCCGCTTTCACGGTCTATATTCATACTGAGAATCAAGATCAAGGGAGCTTTTGTCCTTCTACTTCACAGGAGGTTTCTGTCCTCCCTGAGCTCACTTTAGGAAACCTTCATTATTGATTGACAGGTGTACTCTCCCAGTTAAACTCCCCACCTAGCACTGTCCCCAGAACAGGTGGCGTCCAGCCAGTGCAGCCCAGCACTTGGCGCCAGAAGCGAGAGCCCCTGGGGCTAATCCTCCTCCCCTGCCTCTCCAGGTCAGTGAAAAAACGTAAGAGTAGTGGTATTTCACCAGAGGCCAGCAAGGCCTTTGGATCCCGCCCTGCCCCCTCGAGGGGACAGAGGGACTCTGGGGGTTTATGTTAGGAAAGGAAGCAGATTTTTGGAGACAAAGTAAAGAATGAGAGTGGTTAGTGGGGAAAGAAGGAGTATAGGTTAAAGTAGCATGGAGTTTAGATAGAATGTCTCACCCTAACAAGGGAGTGGGGCAGACTGGTAACACTAAAAAAGAGTGGAGAAAGATATAAGGGCCTAAAGAACAAGTGAGTGTCTGGGTTGCCCTGGCTTGCGATATTTGGCCATCAATTCCCACAACTGAAACCCCAGAGTGTGGAAGAGGACCCCTGAACTCGGGGAGGGCAGAGTAGATTGCCCAGGTATTGATTAAAAATGAAATTGGCCCTGGCTGGTTTGGCTCAGCGGTTGGAGCGTCGGCCTGCGGTACAGAGAGATCCGGGTTCGGTTCCCGCTAAGGGCACGTACCTCGGTTGCAGTTTGTCCCCAGCCCTGGTTGGTCGTGTGGGTGGCAGCCACTCGATGTGTCTCTTCACATCGATGTTTTGCTCTCTCTCTCTCTTTCTTCCTCTCTCTCCCTCCCGCTCTATCTGAACAAAAAATGGAAAAATGTCCTCGGGTGAGGATAAAAAAAAAAAAAATGAAATTGGCCTACCTGCTGCCATCAGAGTTACCCGAGGCTTAGATGACGGTCGGGGCGTCTATTCCTGGGCACCTTCAGTCTTCAGCCGCAAGGCCAATCAGCTCAAGGCCTGGACTGCCCATTCCGCCAGCCCGAGGAAGGGATGACTCTGCGCAGTCTGTCCGCAGTCCGACTTCCAGTGGGGTCCTCCACATTGAGGACATGGCTTAGGTGGTGGTCAGGGATTGGGGCATTGCCTCACCCTATGGTCAGTCTGATTACACTCAAAGCAGGGAGGGGTCCGCTCTGCTGATCCTGGTGTATGCCCTTCTGTCCCCTGAAGGGGGTTTGCCGACCCCTTTGATTAGTGGGGGCTCTGATGGCAGAGGCAAGCATTTGGAATTCTGCTATCCTTTGCTGTTTAGCCTCTTTGTCGTGATTATTAAAAACCTTAGAGGCTAGATTTAGAAGTTCCTGTTGATGGGTTTGAAGGCCATCTTCAAGTTTTTGTAACTTTCTCCTAATGTCTGGGGCTGACTGAGAGATAAATCTCATGTTTAAAATGACAGTTCCTTCTGGCCTAGTGGGATCTAAGTTAGTATAACTTCTCATAGCCTGTGTAAGGTGGGATAGAAAGGTTGCAGAGTTTGTATTCCTTTCCTTGATTATTTCAGCCAATTCTTCATAGTTAACTGCCTTGTGTGAGGCTTTTTTAGTCCCTCAATGAGACATATTGCCATATGGTCCCTGGTTTTCCTACCTGCCCCATTGTCCTGATAGTTCCACCTGGGGTCCTGGCTAGGGACTGCTTGGGCCCTATGGGGTTAGTGGGGGCCTGTCATCTCAGAGCACTGGCATGGCCCTGGGCATTAACCCAGACTCAAATTGTATCTTCCGGATTAAGGGTGAAAGAGAGAATAACATGAATATCATTCCAAGTTAGATCATAGGACTGGGTAAGGTACTCGAATTTCTGAGTATAATTGGTGGGATCCTCGGTAAAGGATCCTAGTATTTTATTTATTTGGGACAAATCTGAGAGAGAGAAGGGGGCATGAACTCTTTCAATCCCTTCAGCTCCTGCTGCTTCCCTCATGGGGAAATTCTAAAACGGGGGCTGAGGTGAGGGACAGACAGGGACCAAACATGGTTCCCAATTGCGTGTGTGAGGGAGTCATTTGCAGCTATAGAGTCGGAGCTGGAGTAGGAGGTTCAGGGCGGGGTGGGGGCCCACAGAAGGGGCTGGAGGGGGCCCTGCCGGGGGGTCTGAGGGAGGAGGTGGTGGAGTGAGATTGGCTGGGTCAAAGAAGGAATCGGAAGTTAGCGCGCTGTCTTCAGAGGAAGGTTTGGGAGGATTAGAGTGGAGTAGGAAGATTTGGGAGGGAGAGCAAGAATCGAATAAAGAGGGGTGTGTTCTAAGTGCAAAGGGGCCTAGATATAAGGAACCTCAGACCATTTTCCTTGCCTTTGACAGAAATTGTCTAGGTCGATGAGAATATAGAAAGTGCGTTCTCAGGCCATTGTGACCCATTGTCTAATTTGTACTGAGGCCACGCAGTGTTACAGTAAAAAATGAGTTGCTTGGGACGTAAATCCTGAGCGAGCCCTAGGGTCTGTAGGTTTTTTAGGAGACATCCTATGGGTGTTGTACGAGGGATGGCAGATTAAGCGTTTCCCATGTTGCAGTGTGAGATGTCGCGGCCTAGCCATCCGACGGATACACTAGTGGAAGAAGAAGGCGTCCTCTCTTCTCCCCTAGAGTAGAGAGCCGTGCAGCTCACCTATATCAGCCATCCCTAGATATATGGTGAGCTGAGGGAACCTGCTTCCTGAAGAGTGTGTCCCGACCAGTGCTGGATTTCAAGAGGGACAATCATACAGGCATGACCGAGAGACCTGGCTCTCTTATGTCCTGGGCGGGAGATAACAGGATAGCCTGGAAAATCAGACTGGTAGGCAAACAAAAAAAAAACACTCACCAGTGAATTAGTGTCCATGTTGATGCTGGATCGGCAGGAAAGGTTGGAGGTCCAGTATCCAGTTGAGGATGTGATCGATCCCGGTCTGATAAGAGTCTGGAGGACTCCGGGGGCCTGCAGTTGCCCCCTATGTGGGATCCTCACAGAACTCCTGGGTTTTGGCACCAAATAAAAGGTCTGAGCTGGTGGGAGATCACATTCACAACACAAGGCCAATGTAGAGCAAAATGGCTTTATTGCACATGCCTGGGTGCAGATGGGCTGAGCTGAGAAGGGGTCAGCCTCAAATTAGGGTTGGGGTGTCGGTTATATACCCTACTTTTAACTTCCGGCAGTTCCTGCTGATGTACTTTGCAGTTGGACTGGTCTGATATCTCCTCTGGTATCTGCTGGGTTATCCATTGCCTTGCAAATAATCCTGATAATCCTTGTCGGTACTCAACAGAAGGCTGAGCAAAGGTCATGCAAGCAACAAAATTTTCACAGTTTCTGCCTTTTGCAAACTTTTTTTTTTTTTTTATCCTCACCTGAGGACATTTTTCAATTTTTTGTTCAGATAGAGTGGGAAGAAGAGAGGAAGAGAGAGAGAGAGAGAGAGAGAGAGAGAGAGAGAGAGAGAGAGAGAAACATCGATGTGAAAGGTACACATCAAGTGGCTGCCACCTGCACGACCAACCAGGGCCAGGGACAAACTGCAACCGAGGTATGTGCCCTTAGCGGAAACTGAACCCAGGTCTCTCTGGACCACAGGCCTACGCTCTAACCGCTGAGCCAAACCGGCCAGGGTGCCTTTTGCAAACTTTTACCTTTACCCTTTAAAATATTACTAGCTCTTTCAGTTATGAATTAGAAGAATCAATTTTGTAAAGATATTGATTCTTGCCCAACTGATCTATAAGTTCAATGTAATTGTGAATAGAATTCCAGTAGGTTTGTGGAAATTGATACGGTAATCCTAAAATTTATATGGAAATGCAAAGGGCAAAAATAGCTAAATATCGAAGAACAACAAATGGGAAGGTATGCTTGACCAGATACTAAGACTTAAAAACTACAGCAAGTAAGTACTGTAATATTGGTGCAGGATAGAAAAATAAATCAATGGAGCAGAAGAGAGTCCAAACAAACCCATGTATATATGGACACTTGAATTTTGACAAGGACTTTCTCCTTCATTTTTTTCTAGAAGTTTTATGGATTAACCTTCACGTGTTTTTATCTATTTTGAAATGCTTTTTGTATGTGGTTTCAGAAATGGAAGAAAGTTCATTGTTTTGTACATGGAGATAATCCTTTGTTGAAAATATGATCCTTTTCCTGTTGAATTGCTTTGATACTCTTGTTGAAAATCCCAAGTGTGTGGGATTATATCTGGATTTTTTATTTTTCATTGATATACACCAGTTCCGTACTGTTGATTACTATAGCTTTATAACAAATCTTGGAATCAGGTAGCGTTAGGCCTCTAAGCTTGTTCTTCTTTTCGAAGTTGTTTTCTTTGCATTTCCATATAAATTTTATAATCATCTTGTCAGTTTCTACAAAGAAGCTTGCTGGAATTTTGATTGGGATTGAAACGACATCTTTACAATGTTGAGGCTCTTCATCCATGAACATGGTCTATCTCTCCATTTACTTTGCTCTTTAACTTCTCTCAGCAATGTTTTGCAGTTTTCTATATACAGTTCTTGCACACTTTGTGTCAGATTTCTTCCTAAACATTTAATGTTTTTTTATGTGATTATAAGTGCTATTTAAAATGTTCAATTTCTGATTATTTGTTGCTAGTACATAGAAATCCAATTGATTTTTATATATTAACCATGTATTCTTCAACCTTCTCCATCCAGACGCCTTCTCCAGTGTGAAACTCTCCCCAGTTCCCTCAGCTTCTCCCAATTCTTCTTCTTGAGTATCATGCGCAGGTCTTTTTTTTTTTTTTTTTAATAACCTTAAAACTGACATTTTCCATGTTTTTTTTATTTTTTATTTTTTTATTTTTTAAAATTCTCACCTGAGGATATTTTTTCATTTATTTTCAGATAGAGCAGGGGGATGGAGAGAGAAACATAGATGTGAGAGAGGCACATCAATTGGTTGCCTCCCGCATGACCCCGACCAAGGCTGGGGACAGAATCGAACCTGAGACTCTTTGGTCAGGGGGCCGATGCTCTAACCCTGAGCCAAACTGGCCAGGACTTTTTTAAAAATTGTTGACACTATTACAGATGTTCCCCATTTCATGAGTAGTTCTTGTTATCCTAGCATCTAGCTAAATGGATTGGTACTATTTGTTTTCGTGTCTGCCTTCCCCATCAGACTAGAAACTCCTTGAAGCTAGGAGGGTCCCTATTTGATTCTTGTGTCCACTAGGGTCCAGCCCAACATCTGGAACTCAATAGGTATTGAGTGAGTGTCTATGAGGGAAGAATGGATGGATGGATGGGCATGGGAGGGTGGGTGGAGAGAGAGGGAGGGAGAGAGGGATGGGTGGGGAGGGATGAATGAAGAGGAAGATAGGGATGGGAGGGGAAAGATGGATAGATCAATGGATTGTGAATTGTGTTTGTATTTGTCACAGCAAGTGCTCATACAGAAATTAAACCAGCCTATTTTTGTTTCTGAATCTACTGAATTTTCTGCATGCTACAGTGGTCTGCATATTGAATGTCACCAGTAGGCTATAGTCTTCATAAACAACATTATCAAGTGCTTACTGCATTCCAGGCATTGAGCCAGGCTCCCTGCAGGCATGCTCTCATTAACTCATGTCACGTAACTCATCTCTCTCCTCTCCACCATGTCCATAAAACTCTAGTCATTTTGGCCTCCCTGCTGTTTCTCAAATATACTAAACATACTGCCTCTCAAGGCTTTTGCACTCGCATTCTCTTCTACTTAGAACACTCTTTCCTCAGATAACTGTCCGGCTTGTCCCCTCACCTCCTTTAAGCCTCTGTTCAAATGTCACCTCCTCAATAAAGCCTTCCCTGACCATCCTATCTACAACAGCAACCCCACCATTTTCTGCCTCTCTTACCTAATTTTCTTCATATAACATAGCAGGCTTATTCTCTAAAGTCATACCACATTCTCTCATTTTATTATTTGCACCATATTCTAGGAAAGTACCGTCTTTGGGTAATAATAATGTCACATTTACTGAGCACTTACTATGTGCCAAGCAGATTTTTAAATGCTTTTTATAGATTAATTGACTTAATCTATATCCCACCCCTATGACATAGGTACCTTTTTTCTGAGAGGGATTTAGTTCCTTGCCCACATTTCCCTGATGTTAGCTCATCATCCCTCCCCTCTGGTCCTGCTGCTATGGAAGAGGGATGCCATAGTGGGACTTTGTGTGAGTCTGCCCGATTACCTGTGCTTTTCTTCTGTTTAGTTTTGTAGACGATGCTGACAAGCTTCTGCACATCTGGATAGAAGACTCCCTGGAAGCCAGCATTTTCCCCTTTCTGCGCCACCTCTGTCACTTCATTGGTAAGGAGCATTCTCTAACCAGGCAGCAACTGGCCTATGCCCAAGGGTACAGGGACTATGGCATCTCATCCACATGCCTATTCCTGATTGTGACTCTCAGTGCTCAGGAGAGAAAGGGCAGCACATGCCCAGCCAGGTGTGGATCACCCCAGGACAAGCCCACTTCTCCAGGGCCCTCAGCATTATGGGCAGCCAGGCATTTACCTCTGGACAGTGGGCCAAATGAGAGCTCCAGACTGGATCAAACACCCTGTGTTCTGGCCTTAGCTGGACTGGTGGCCCTTCTGGGCTGGCCTCACTGCCCCTGTTGGCCTGTCACAAAATGAGGGTGTTGGCCCACCATGGGAGCATATGTTCATGGAGGCCTGCTCTGCACTGTGCTCTGGTGACTCAGAGGTGAATCTAACTCTGCCCTTTTGTCTGGTCAGCAAGGTGGGGTAGAAGGAAGACTCCAGAGCTTCTGACTTCCTGATTTTCAGTGTGTAAGCCCAGTGCCCCTCTGTTCTCCCACCACACACAGCAGTGCCCAGCAGTGGCTTACCTCATTGAGGGTGGATTTTTCAGTAATTCCCAGGGCTCAGGATTGCCCAAGTTAAAATCCCTGGAGTGAGTGAGGTTGAGTTAGGTCAGAGGCCCCATCCTAGGACTGCCCACTTGGCACCAACTCAGCCCCTGGCCTGAGTCACTGCATTTTGGCTCAACATCTCTTATTTGCCCAAGATGTTGCAAAAATCACTTAACTAGGAGCTGAGAATGAGATTTGCCACATTCCCACCATGGGATGGCAGAGCTCTATAGCACAAAGAGGCCCCTCTCCAGCCCCACCTCACTGGGTGGCTCTGGGCTAGTCCTTAACTGCTTGGTGCCTCAGTTTCCTTAACCATATGATGAATCAGTTGGCCTTAATCATCTGAGCCCTGCTTTAGCACTTTGAATGGTAATCTTAAATTTTTGGAGGTTACCAAACCAGCCTAGGATGCCAGCTTAGATTTCCTCCCTACCCGTCACTGGGTGAGACTCACACACAGACTCAGCATCACTGTTAGGTATGCTGACAGCTGTGCCAGGCACCAGTCTAAGCACAGCACAAAACCTTACAAGGATACTGTTATCTCATTTTCCAAATGAGGAAACTGTTGCTAAGAGTAACATGCCCAAGCCCCACAACTAGTGAGTGGCAGAGCCAGGATTCGCATCCAGGCTAACTACCTCTGTCAGCACCACGTGCCCTTGAGGGGACGATCCTCTCATCTTCACCCAGGGAGGCCAACTGGTAGCAGACCTTCCCGGTCTGAAAGCCTGGAGAGCCAAGAAAGAGCCTTTGCATGATAATGCTGAATGCCCAGGTGTGATTCTCTTGAACTGCCAGCTAGGTCTGAAAATCCCCATTTGACCCTGGCCGGTTTGGCTCAGCGGTTGGAGCGTCGGCCTGCGGACCAGAGAGTCCCGGGTTCGGTTCCCGCTAGGGGCATGTACAAAAACACACACACACACACACAAAACCTCATACAAAAGTAATACAGCCCTGGCCGGTTTGGCTCAGCGGTTAGAGCATTGGCCTACAGTCCAGAGAGAATCCCCATTTGCCAAGTGAGGAAACTGTCCTAGTGATGTCACATGACTTGCCTGAGACTCAGTGTGCTGGTTCTGAATTCACTCTTGGACCCCCTGAGGCCAGTGCACAGAGAAGGGGGCACACACAGTCACACCGCCTCTGATCACCCCCACATCCAACCCCATAACCTTTCCTTCCTCTTGCAGATATCCACCTCGAACTTGGCTCTGTCATCCTGGTATTTTCCACTCTGGGCATCAGTCGTAGCTGTGCAGCCATCTTGGCCTACCTCATGCACCAGAATCAGCAGACCTTGAAGGTATGCATTCTCTGGTCTAGTCTCTGACCATAGTCTCCTCCATGAAGTGGGGTCTGAGCTGCACCTGGTAGGAATGGCCCCCAGCACTGCCTCAGGGCCCTGATTGGGGGATGAGAGGGGGAGAGCCCAAGAAAGGAAGCTTCGAGTCCAGGGCTCTACCCAGCACACTACACCACACCCAAAGTCAAAGTCCCAGCTCTCTGTGCTGGAGGCCTGAGGCTGGGCACATGGGGATGCAGATTGGGCAAGGCTGCAGCTGGCAGCTTTCTGCATGTCCCCCACTGCCATTAGTCTGTCCATTAGGGTTTGTTCATGGTTCTCTAAGAGAGGTGCATTTTTGCTGCTGCTTGGAGTCATAGAATTGCAGTGCTGGCAGGGTTTCAGTGGGCTCCCACTCCAACAATTCTTTTACCCTTGAGGGGAGCAGGGCCCAGAGAGGACAAGAAAGGAGGGACTCGTTAGGACAAACCCTGTGGAAACTCAAGGCTCCTCACTCCCAGGGCAGTGCTTGCCTACTGCCTTACGAGATCACAGGCCTGTCCTGAGGGGAGGGGGGAGCCTAGCCCAGCACAGCTTGTACATTATGTCAGAGGGCTTGGGTAGGACCTGAAAAGCTCCCACATTTGTCCAGGAGTGTGCTTGGAGGGACAAAGGATGACCATGATCAGAGCCCATTGCCAGTGGTTTTGGCTATTGACACAGCATGCTTTTTGGGAGTGAAATTGCAGGCAAGAGCCCTGGCCAGTTTGGCTCAGCAGTTACAGCGTCGGCCTGCGGTCCGGAGAGACCCTGGTTCGGTTCCTGCTAAGGGCACGTACTTCGGTTGCAGTTTGTCCCCGGCCCTGGTTGGTCGTGCCAGTGGCAGCCACTCGATGTGTCCCTTCGCGTCGATGTTTCTCTCTCTCTCTCTCCCTCCCACTCTATCTGTACAAAAAATGGAAGAATATCATCGGGTGAGGATAAAAAAAAAAAAGAAAAGAAATTGCAGGCAAGAAAGAGTCTTGGATATCCAGCAATTCCACTTCTGGGTATACACCCAAAAGAAGTGAAAGTAGGGACTCAAAGAGATATGTGTATACTCATATTCATAGCAGCATTATTCACAAGAGCCAAGAGGTGAAAGCAAACCAAGTGTTTATCGACAGATGAATAGATAAACAAAATGTGGTCTATTCATACAATAGAATATTATTCAGCTTTAAAAGGGAAGAAAACTCTGACATGCTACAGCATTGAGGACATTATGCTAAGTGAAATAAGCCAGTCACAGAAGACCAAATACTGTATGATTTCACTTATATGAGATGATTAGAAACGTCAGATTTATAGAGACAAAAAGTAGATTGGTGAATGCCAGGGGCTGGGGGCAGGGGACAGGGGGAATGGGGAGTTGTTTGATGGGCATAGAGTTTGGGAAGATGAAATATAGAGTAGATGCACAATATAGTGACTGTAGTTAATGCCATTGAACTGTATGTCTAAAATGGTTAAAATGGTAACTTTTATATTATGTGTATTTTACCACAACTTAAAAAAAGAGCCCAGCTGGTGTGGCTCAGTGGATTAAGCATCATCCCATGGACTGAGAAGTCCTGGTCCATTCCCAGTCAGGACACATGCCCGGGTTGTGAGCTCGATCCCCAGTCGAGGGTATGCAGGAGGCAGTGGGGGACATTCATGTTTCTCTCTCATATTGATGTTTCTATCTCTCTCTCCCTTCTTCTCTCTCTAAAAAACCAATAAAACATATTTAAAAATAAATAGATAAAAACCAAAAGAGTCTGGATGCAGAAACAGAGGGCCTGGAGTGAGAGGCCCACATGCCTGCTCTCTCACCCCATTCAAGGTGAGTTGTCGGGCACCCTCCCACTGGGATCACTGCCTGCCTGAGGATTATTTTGGTGTGTGCTGGGGAGAGGGTGATGTTGCTAATAAATCTGGGGAAGGAGGCCTGTGCTATTGTGCTGCTAGAGATGCCTCTCTAGTACCTTTCCCGGCAATGGGCTCTGTCCTATGAGGGGCCTCTTCTTCACTGCCCTTTTGAGCTGGTATGGGAAGACAAAGAGCTGGCAGAAGGCAGGCTGAGCTTCCCCACCCACAGGGGCCTCAGGGAGTTCTAGGACTTGAGCTCCCCTGGAGTTTGAAGGGGGCCAGTCTGTGAATATCAGTAAGCCCTGCCCTGCTGTGGTCCTTGGTGTCCTCATTGCTCACAGGGAGGGTTGGGTACAAGAAGGTCTTAGGAGACTTCTGACTCTGATATTTAGTGACATGTCCTAACCCTAACAAGCAAATCACAACCTTCTCTCTGGCCACATCAAAAGCAGGTGTCACAGCTGCTTCCAGAGCCAGCTGGGGTGAGAGCAGAGAGAGGAGTCCCCTCACCCACTTGGCTCTTCTGAGTTCTCCAGCAGCAAGGGCCAGTCCCCCATAGTAATGTGGCACGTGCAGGCTGGCACCTGATCTTCATTGCAAGGAGATGCACAGCTCCAGCTATGAGGGTGAGGGACACCTGGGCATTGTTCTGGTCATTAGGTAGATGGGCACTTGGGTGCCTGAGGTCAAGATAGTTCTGGTCTCAGGAGAAACCCTGTTACTTCCTTCCTGGAGCAGTAATCTTCATCTCATTAGCAGAGAAGTCCTGTTGTGGGGCATTCTGTGCAGAAATGCTGTCTAGATAACTCTTGGCTAAAAAAGCTGTGCAGCTCCTGGAGCTACGGGTGGAAAGCTCTGCTACTCTGACTTTTGGGTCCTCTCCAGACTGAGTGAGTCCTGTGTGGCAGTTAGCTTCTTCTGCTACCAACCAAGTACCCTGGATCACTGACACAGGTGGACCTGGGCTCAGCTCTGCTGCTGCCTGGGATCCAGAGAGACATGCCTGTCTCCCATTGTGTAGTCCTGGGGATCCTCCTCAGTACATGGGGAAGCTGTGTCCCTGGCTGCTGTCAGAACCCACAGGACTGGCAAGAAGAATATGGACTACTTTCCAGCAACATACTGCTTCCTGGGCTTGTGGTTCCAGCTCAGCTCCTTGGGGCACCAAGGACAAGAGTGGGAAGTTGAGGAGTGAGCTGGAAAGAACCTAGCACCCAGAGCCACTCCTGCCTGTCCTGGGCTCTCAAAGCTTTGGTGCCAGGTTGTGTGGGGTCCCAGAGCCAGCAAGCCCTTAAGAAATCAATTTCAGTGCCTTTTAACTGCTGGGAGTAGCTTGGTCCCTTAAAGATCCTCAGAGAAAAACAAAAATCAACTCCTGAGGCACTATAATAGCTTACATTGACAGAGTCTTCCCACATGCAAGGCTGTTTTAAGTACTTCATGTGTAATGAAAACACAATGACCCCACAGCCTGTTATTATCCCCATTTTGCAGGAGGCATGTAAAGCCTGGGTAATTTGCCTGAGGCCCCACAGCTGTAAGTGGCAGAGCCAGATGGCCCAGCTGGGGAATCTGGGCTTTTTTTTTTTTTTAATCCTCACCTGAGGGTATGTTTTTTATTGATTTTTAGAGCTGGGGGTGGTGGGGAGAGAGAGAAGAGAGACAGACAAACATCGATGTGAGAAACATTGATCAGTATGTGCCTCAACTGGGGATGTACCCATAACCCAGGTATATGCCCTGACCAGGAATTGAACCCGCAACGTTTTGGTGTATGGGATGATGCTCCAACCAACTGAGCCATCTGACCAGGGCGAGAATCTGGGATTCTAACAAGCCTCTAAGGCAGCAGGGAGAGCGCTGGCATTGCAGTCTAAAGAATGGGGCACTGCTTCTTACCAAGTGGCCTGGGCATGTCTCTTTACCTTTTTGTCCCCTCAGTAGACAGAATAAAGAGAATAAAGCTTGTCTTTCCAGCTTGCTGCATTTGCTGTGAGTCCCAGCAGATACACTGTAGGCAGGAAATGGAGTGTGTGGGTGGGTGTGGCTACTATGGTTATGGTTGGTCCTCAAGGGCCTATTCTGACCTGGCCAGGATTTAGTAATCCTTATAACTGCACAGCTCTGCCCCTAGTATCACTGTGTTTTATTATTTTTTAAAAATTGTGACAAAACACAAGTAACACAAAATTTACCATTTTAACATGTTCAAGTGTACAGTTCAGTAGTGTTAAGTATCTTCACATTGTTGTGCAACCAATCTCCAGAACATTTTCCTCTTGCAAAATTGAAACTCTATACCCATTAAATAATAATTCCCCATTCCCCATTTTCCCCAGCCCTAGACAAACACCATTCTTTTTTGTCTCTGATTTTGACTATTCTAGGTACCTCATATAGATGGAATCATACAGTATTTGTCCTTTTGTGACTGGCTTGTTTCACTTAGCATAATGTCTTCAGGGTTCATCCATGTTGTAGGCACATGTCAGAATTTCCTTTTTTAAAAGACTGAATAATATTCCATGGTATATAGAATTTACCAGTGAACCTATCTGGGCCTGGTGCTTTCTGTTTTAGAAGATTATTTTTTAAATTTATTTTTTGTTAATCCTCAGCCAAGGATATTTTTTTCATTGACTTTTTTTTAGAGAGAAGGGAGGGAGGGAGGAGGAAGGAGAGAGAGAGAGAAACATTAATGTGAGAGACACATCAATCGGCTACTTCCCACACGTTCCTCAAATGGGGCTGGGGGTCAAACCTGCAATCCAGGTACATGCCCTTCACCAGGAATTGAACCCCGAGACCTTTTGGTGCAGGACCTTTTGGTGCAGGGGCTGACGCTCTAACCACTGAGTGACACTAGCCAGGGTGGAAGATTATTTTTATTGATTCAACTTCTTTACTAGATACATAGGGCTATTCAGCTTATGCGTTTTGGTAGATTGTGTCTTTCAAGGAATTGGTCCGTTTCATTTAGACTATATGTGGGCAGAGAGTTGTTCATAGTCTTCTTTTATCATTCTTTTCATGTCCATGGTATCTGTATTGATTCCCTCTTTTAAAATTTTCTGATATTAGTTATTTGTGTCTTCTCTCTTCTTTTCTTAGTTAGCCTTGCTAGAGGC